CTTCTAATTAAAAACATGGTAAAAATTTCTAACGTTTATCGGTAAAGTGATTGTTTTCTTGAGTATAAATTAATCGGAACGTTCCTGAAGAATTTTGAAGACGGTAGATCAGTATTAGTATTCTTTGCGAGGTAAGCGGTTAAGACAGCGTTTGTTTGTCAGTCTCAGTCCCACCGAACCTAAGCGTTCGTGCAACAGAAATCTGAGACCAGGCTCAATTTTCGTTTCGCTTTGGATAACATTAAGGCGGGTAAGGCGAGAGAGCGGTAGCCGTTAGAGAGAGTGAATGAGAACCGCTAAAACTGGGCCTGATCTCAGGTTAGTGCAACAGGGGTCCATTTTATAAAACTTTTGCAAGTGTAATTTTGAGTGTTTTGGAGTCTGGAAACAATAGCTACGCTTGTATATTACTTGTCAAAGTACCGTAAAATTCTGGAAATAAGCCCCTCCATGTATAAGCCCCTCTAAATATAAGCCCCCTTAACCGGTAACGCAAAAACCCTCCGTTAAATCGCCCCTCCAGATATAAGCCCCTTGCGGCTTGTACTTGGAAAATTGCCCTCAAATGCAAAGAAAAACAAAGCAAAAAAGGTAGATTTACCTCCAACTGTAAGGCTAGCCCAGTTGATTTTGAAACACAAATCTCCCTCCGTAGATAAGCCCCTCCGAATATAAGCCCCTCAAAAAGAGTCTTTGAATAATATAAGCCCCGGGGCTTATTTTCGGAATTTTACAGTATTATTAAATTGACGCCAGGAAAAGGAACAAAAACTGCATACTCAAACATAGAATGGGATACCTGTGGCAAACCCGTGAGAGCCCTGGGCTATAGTCTATAGAAAGCGAGAAGACCCTGGGGAAACCCAAAGAAAGTTGCAATGGCTTTTCTTCAGTCTTTTGACGATAAATATAACTGGCAGACTATTCGCCCAACTATCTGCGAGAGAACCAAATTTATTTTCAATAACGAATTATTAAGTGATGTGAAGTTTGTAGTTCCTGCGTCGCACAACCAAAGTGAAAGCCGGAAGAGTCGGAAGTGCATGATTCCAGCTCACAAGTTTGTACTTGCAATCAGCAGTCCTGTTTTCTATGACATGTTCTACGGTGAAATGGCGGAGGCTGCAGACACTGTTCAATTGCCTGACTGTGATTATGAGAGTCTGTTAGAGTTGTTTCGTTTTCTGTACGGCGATGAAGTGAACTTAAGCAGAAGTAATGTCATGCAAGTTCTGTACTTGGCAAAGAAATACCTGGTCCCTTCATTCGCCGATAAGTGTACAGCATATCTTCAGGAACATCTAGGGGCGTCGAATGTGTTCTCTGTCCTGCTTCAAGCTCAGAAATTTGAGGATAAAGATTTGGAAGAACGGTGTTGGGAAGTAATTGAGGCGCAAACCGAGAATGCTCTGACTTCTGAAGAATTTGTCACGCTTGAGAGATCTGTTGTTGAGTCTGTGGTGAAAAGGGGGAGCTTGAGTGTAAAGGAAGTGGATTTATTCAAGGCTGTTGATCGCTGGGCCACTAAAGAAGTGGAAAAGCAAGGGCTAACCCCTGATGGCGTGGTCAAAAGAAGGATTCTTGGCGAGGAAATTGTGAAAGCCATAAGGTTTCCAGTGATGTCGCAGAAGGAGTTTGCTTCAGTTGTTGTGGATTGTGACATTCTGACTAAAAAAGAGATTGGTTTGATGATGAAACACTACGGTGGTGTCGGTTTAGAGTCTTCTTTACCATTCATACATTCCCCTAGACAGCGTAAAACTGAGCATTTGCATCGGGTTTACAGATTTACAGAAGTAAGCTCGCCCGAAATGCCTGATGGTGCCTGGTACTACTATCGTGGTAATTCTGATGCCCTTAAACTTACTGTCAGTAAACCTGCCATGTTACATGGAGTGCAGCATTTTGGTAGTGAAGGTGGCAAATACACAGTTTCATTAGAAGTGAAAGATGTGGGAAATGGTTTTTCTCTGGTAAAACAGACAGGAATGTATTTCTCAAAGGAAGATGAGAGAAAAGGTTACTACGGATTTGATGTCCTGTTTGATCACCCTGTTTGCCTTGAGAAGGGTAAAAGATATGAGATTGTATCACTTATTCAGGGCCCACCATCACGGCATATGACTACAGGGAAAAAGTTCGTAAAAGTTAAAAGAATCCAATTTTTATTTAGCTGTTCAGTTTCTTCTAGGAATGGAACTAATGTTTAGCAGTGGCCAGTTTCCTGCAATTATCTTCAGCACACTGTAGGATAATTCTTAGGTAGCCTGTGATCAGGCCTTCGGGCAAGAGGGGGAGGGGGGATGGAAATGGGGGGAAAGGGCAAGGAGGGAACTGTGGAACTGGCAACTCTCCTCACGATTTTTTCACACTTTCCCCAAACAGGATGGTATGAACTGGTATTGTGCAAAAGTTTTTTTAGGACAGTAACCTAAACAAACAATCAAGAGTCTTTTTTTAGGAGTAATATTATTCTATACCAATGCCTCCTGATTATACATGTTGTTAGTGTTAGGCTGTTATGTTAGCGACACGTGGAATGATTTGCAACACAAAATGGAAATAGAGGGCTGTTAAACTCCGGGCCTGATGGCATGGTGGTTGAGTAAGGCTACAGCTATTTAAAAATATTAATTATACAGAAGGAAAATATAGACATTGAGTGGCACTAAATTAACCTTCAGTCTTTACCTATAATTCCTTGATTTTACAAACATAACAATTTTTGAAATAGTAAACTAAAATATGTGAAAAGGGATTTAAGCGACTACAGTTGAAATTTATTGACAAATAAGTGAGATGAAATGCGAAAACTCATTGAGTCATTGTCGTTTGCAACTGTGTCGTTTTGTTAAAGATAACAAGGGTGACTTAAAGGAAAGAGCTTTATTATTGAAGTGGACAGTGTCAACTGCTGAGCATATTCATGGTGCATACATTAAAGAAGTCAGCACTTACTTGGTGTGTATATTAGCAAATGGCATTTTTCACAACCGTTTATTATTTGTGAGTTTTAAAGCTAATATTTTTCTTTACAATACTTTTCATATCAGACTAAATAAGCGCAAAAGCCATTATGCACAGTTTACCAGTATTGTGTATACTAGTTAATCACTGCAAATGTAAATGAAAGAAACCTTAATAATATATTTCCTGTTAGAATAACACTGGCCCTGAAGAAGACTTTAGTTACTAGTTTGAAAATAGCCTTATTAAAGTTGCTGTTAAAGCCTTATTAAAGTTGTTATTAAAGTTGTTGAGCACAGTTTATCGGTATTGCATATTCATTTGCCATGTACTAGTTAACCGTTACAAAATTTAATATAAATTAAAGGAGCCTTATATCTTTTCTTTTAGAATATCACTGGCTCCGAGGAAGACTTCTATGTTACTAGTTTCAATGTTAGCCTTATTGAAGTAGCTATTTTTCTATAATCCCAGCCTTGTACTAAATTTGGATATCTGAAAAAAATTCAGACCATTCTCATGGGTGCTGGTTGCGCAAAAATGAAATTACAGCAACTTGTAATTCTTGTAATTATTGGTTAAACAAGTCCTAAGAAATCAGAATCCCTGAGTTATTGAGCAGACTTTGGATAAACTTTGCTGAGAGGTCTTCGGAAATATTAAAAACAATTTATGATGACTTTGGAAACATTTCGTTTCGACTTCAGGTTCTACGGCCATTGTAAGTTTGGCGTAAAAGCTGGACTGATTTATACAAAAAGGCTTCTCATTGTTACTCCTGAGGGCATTTTTTGCAAAAATTTTCAAGGGTTAATAGGGCAAAAGTAACAAACTTTCATGGCTCAACATTGGGCGAACAGAGTTCCAGGCTATTGCTCTTTTTTTCAGTATTTGAAGCACCTCTCAATTCTCTATTAACCACAGTAGTGTCTAAAACTTTTACTTGGAATGCCTGGGCTTTACCCAGGGGTATATCAATTCTCCTTTTGCTAATTTTCCCAGCAGTTTGGACCAATCCTGTTTGTGGTCATCATAACCAGGGAACTTCTCTAATAGTGGGCGGCATAAGAGCTGTGTAATTGGGAGGGGTTGGTTACGAAGTAGAAGGCACACAGATGGTATGGGTCCACTTAAGTTTCTGATAAAGCTGTCATGAAGAATGATGAGTCCTGTATCAGAGGAATCTGGTGACTCCAGCAATTCAAAATTTATACCCCCTGGAAAGAAGTGAGATGATTGATTGAGTCCATTATGTTCAAAATTCCAGTGGGTGGCAAAGCTGGGGTGCAAACTACAAGACAATAGCCCTTATGCATGTTTACATCAAACGAGTAAATTTAACCACCAAGTATCGTTTTCAAAATATATGAATGCATGTTCTACATGTCGATGAATTTCCAAGGCAGTACATTTGAAAAGAACACCCATGCACAAAGAGTGCAGGTGCAAAGAATTTTGCTAAAAAACAACGAGCTTGGTGGTGAAATTTGCCTGTCTGATGTAATCATGCATAAGGGTCATTTGCAGAAAAGCAGACATATAAAAATAAAAATAAACAAATAAAAACTGGTATTTCTGGAAGAGGTCTTGGGCAGCTTTAGTCTGCATGGTATGCAGTTTTTTTGAGTGTGTTTTTCACTCAAATGAGAAAACAATGGGGGAAGGGAGTGACAGCTGAGAGAAACAACATTCTCTCTGCCCTTTTCACTTGACCCCTTCCCCATCATTTTCTTGTTTAACTTCTGTATAGCTTTCCCATAGCTTTGTCTCTTACTTTACCAACCACAAATCAAAAACACACTAAAAAACCGCCTGCTACACAAGCTAGGACAATTTCTTTTGGAAAATAATTTACAGTTAATGCCACACGTACCTGGTATTAAGTCAGGTCTCACACAAGCAATAGTCAGTGCAAACACTGGAAGACTGCTCATTGTATCAATAGCTTTAGCAATGATGCCTTTAACAAACAATACAATGAGCCGCAGCGCAGTAAACACAACATAGTACATAGTAGTTGTTGGCAACAGGAACAGCAGCACTGTGAAGCACAGGGTGCCCACAAACAGTCTGTCTGCCTTGAATGGAACATTTTCAATTTGGTTTGTCTCAACATTCCACCTCCTACCTAGGGTGGAAAAGAATTTGGTAAGATGTTATAAGTGAAAACAAAATTGTCTTGTAGTTCAATTTTATCCATGGTTCTATTATAATCTACTTTATACTTATTTACTTATAAATTTTATTCCATTCACACAAAATTAATTTCCTCTTTTATTTTCCTTTCTTAAAAACTTGAAGTGGAAAAGCAAGGGCTAACCCCTGATGGCGTGGTCAAAAGAAGGATTCTTGGCGAGGAAATTGTGAAAGCCATAAGGTTTCCAGTGATGTCGCAGAAGGAGTTTGCTTCAGTTGTTGTGGATTGTGATATTCTGACTAAAAAAGAGATTGGTTTCATGATGAAACACTACGGTGGTGTCGGTTTAGAGTCTTCTTTACCATTCATGCATTCCCCTAGACAGCGTAAAACTGAGCATTTGCATCGGGTTTACAGATTTACGGAAGTAAGCTCGCCCGAAATGCCTGATGGTGCCTGCTACTACTATCGTGGTAATTCTGATGCCCTTAAACTTACTGTCAGTAAACCTGTCATGTTACATGGAGTGCAGCATTTTGGTAGTGAAGGTGGCAAATACACAGTTTCATTAGAAGTGAAAGATGTGGGAAATGGTTTTTCTCTGGTAAAACAGACAGGAATGTATTCCTCAAAGGAAGATGAGAGAAAAGGTTACTACGGATTTGATGTCCTGTTTGATCACCCTGTTTGCCTTGAGAAGGGTAAAAGATATGAGATTGTATCACTTATTCAGGGCCCACCATCATGGCATATGACTACAGGGAAAAAGTTCGTAAAAGTTCAAAGAATCCAATTTTTATTTAGCTGTTCAGTTTCTTCTAGGAATGGAACTAATGTAAGCAGTGGCCAGTTTCCTGCAATTATCTTCAGCACACTGTAGGATAATTCTTAGGTAGCCTGTGATCAGGCCTTCGGGCAAGAGGGGGAGGGGCGATAGAAATGGGGGGAAAGGGCAAGGAGGGAACTGTGGAACTGGTACCTCTCCTCACAATTTTTTCACACTTTCCTCAAACAGGATGGTATGAACTGGTATTGTGCAAAAGTTTTTTTAGGACAGTAACCTTAACAAACAAACAAGAGTCTTTTTTTAGGAGTAATATTATTCTATACCAATGCCTCCTGATTATACATGTTGTTAGGGTTAGGCTGTTATGTTAGTGACACAGTGGAATGATTTGAAACACAAAATGGAAATAGAGGCTGTTAAACTTGGGGCCTGATGGCATGGTGGTTGAGTAAGGCTACAGCTATTTAAAAAAATTAATTATACAGAAGGAAATATAGACATTGAGTGGCACTAAATTAACCTTCAGTCTTCACCTATAATTCCTTGATTTTACAAACATAACAATTTTTTAAATAGTAAACTAAAATATTTGAAAAGGAATTTAAGTGACTGCAGTTGAAATTTGTTGACAAATAAGTGAGATGAAATGCGAAAACTGATTTGAATCATTGTCATCTGCAACTGTTGTTTTGTTAAAGACAACAAGGGCAACTTAAAGGAAAGAGCTTTATTATTGAAGTGGACAGTGTCAACTGCTGAGCATATTCACAGTGCATACATTAAAAAAGTCAGCACTCACTTGGTATGTATATTATCAAATGGCATTTTTCAAGACCGTTAATCAGTTGCACCATTTACCTGCAGTATTGCGTATACTAGTTAACCATTGCAAATGTAAATGAAAGAAGCCTTTATATATTTCCTGTTAGAATAACACTGGCCGCGAGGAAGACTTTTGTTACTAGTTTCAACATACATGTAGCCTTATTAAAGTTGCTGTTAAAGCCTTATTACACAGTTTATTGGTATTGCATGTACTAGTTAACCATTACAAAATTTAATGTAAAGTAAAGGAGCTTTTTATATATTTTCTTTTAGAATATCACTGGCTCCAAGGAAGAATTCTGTTACTAGTTTCAATGTTAGCTATATTAAAGTCGCTATTTTTCTATAATCCTAGCCTTGTACTACATTTGGATATCTGAAAAAAATTCAGACCATTCTCATGGCTCAACGATGGGCGAACAGAGTTCCAGGGTATTGCTCTTTTTTTCAGTATTTGAAGCACCTCTCAATTCTCTATTAACCACAGTAGTGTCTAAAACTTTTACTTGGAATGCCTGGGCTTTACCCAGGGGTAAATCAATTCTCCTTTTGCTAATTTTCCCAGCAGTGCGGAGCAATCCTGTTTGTGGTCATCATAACCAGGGAACTTCTCTATTAGTGGGCGGCATAAGAGCTGTGTAATAGGGAGGGGTTGGTTACGAAGTAGAAGGCACACAGATGGTATGGGTCCACTTAACTTTCTGATGAAGCTGTCATGAAAAATGTTGAGTCCTGTATCAGAGGAATCTGGTGACTCCAGCAATTCATAATTTACACCGCCTGGAAAGAAATGAGATGATTGATTGAGTCCATTATCTTCAAAATTACAGTGGGTGGCAAAGCTGGGGTGCAAACCACAAGATGATAGCCCTTATGCATGTCTATATCAAACGAGTACATTTCACCACCAAGTCTCGTTTTCAATAAATAACAATGCATGTTTTACATGTCGATGAATTTCCAAGGCAGTATATTTGAAAAGAACACCCATGCAGAAAGAGTGCAGATGCAAAGAATTTTGCTTAAAAACGAGGAGCTTGGTGGTGAAATTTGCCCATCTAATGTAATCATGCATAAGGGCCATTTGCAGAGAAGCAGACATATAAAAATAAGAATAAATAAATAAAAACTGTTATTTCTGGAAGAGGTAGCTTTAGTCTGTATGGCATGCAGTTTTTTTTGGTGTGGTTTTCATTCAAATGAGAAAACAATGGGGGAAGGGAGTGACAGGTGAGAGAAACAACATTCTCTCTGCCCTTTTCACCTGACCCCTCCCCCATCATTTTCTTGCTTGACATCTGTATAGCTTTCCCATAACTTTGTCTCTTACTTTACCAAGCACAAATCAAAAACACACCAAAAAAAACACCCGCTACACAAGCTAGGACAATTTCTTTTGTAAAATAATCTACAGTTAATGCCTCACGTACCTGGTATTAAGTCAGGTCTCACACAAGCAATAGTCAGTGCAAACACTGGAAGACTGTTCATTGTATCAATAGCTTTGGCAATGATGCCTTTAACAAACAATACAATGAGCCGCAGCACAGTAAACACAACATAGTACATAGTAGTTGTTGGCAACAGGAAGAGCAGCACTGTGAAGCACAGGGTACCCACAAACAGTCTGTCTGCCTTGAATGGAACATTTTCAATTTGGTTTGTCTCAACATTCCACCTCCTACCTAGGGTGGAAAAGGATTTGGTAAGATGTTATAAGTAAAAACAAAATTGTCTTGTAGTTCAATTTTATCCATGGTTCTATTATAATCTACTTTATACTTATTTACTTATAAATTTTATTCCATTCACACAAAATTAATTTCCTCTTTTATTTTCCTTTCTTAAAAACTCATCACCATATCCAAAATAAAAAACAATGATAAAAATTGAATCACAACATCTACAATGTACTTGTACAAGA